ACAACCTGAATCTCATATATATATATATATATATATATATATATATATATATATATATATATATATATATATATATATATATATATATATATGTAGGCTCTTATTTCACTACAAAAAATAAGGAAATTCTAATCGGAAAGTGATAACGATCTCAATGAAATAGACAGTTTAATTCTAGAAAAATCTAAGATTCAGGGATACAAAACCATGCATAAACACTGAAATACAATCACTAACTTCCTTTCTAATCATACCGATATCAGGTGATTACTTTCAAAGAATTATTTTTACCATAGTAACACAAATGTGGACATATTGGAAATTTAATACGTACACACAGACAAACTTAATAGTTTCCTAATTCTACATCACATTTTTAAGAATATTTTCTAATTAGTAACTTACATTGAAACGTAAAATGAAATCTGGCAATCAATGTTAAATTGGAAACAAAAATATTAAAATTTTGTTAGAAAAAAAAACACTATTTTTGTCTCCCAGTAATTACCATAATCCCTAACACATCAAAAGAAAGATTACTTAAAATTCCATCAAGAAAATTGGGATAACACAAAGATAAATTTCAAACTATTAACTCAGTGAGTTAATTTTATAACAAACAAAATATTCACGTTCTTGATGTGAAAATGACAAGAAAACAAGATGGAACTCTCGGAAGATCTATCTACAGGAAACCCATGTGAAATGACTGACTATCAAGTCTCCGCAGTTGGGTGCCCATTAAACGAAAGAGAAACTTAATAATATCATTCGCCAAGCGAATACAAGGAATTTGTAGTCCCGAGGTCATATATGACGAACTGAGCCTCCTGAAGAAGATACTTATCAAAAAGGGGTATCCTTCAATATTCATTGGTAAAAACATAAAAACCAAAACCGACGAAAACACAAATAACTTCAGTCGAAAAGAAAACATACATGAAAATCGACTTTAAGTGTGACAGAGCCACATATGTCTTAAAGAGGAGAATTTCTGATTCTTTAAAAAGAACGTTCTTCGCAGCCAAGTTGTGAATAGTATTCTACAGCCGATCAATGTTCACCAATAATCTTAAAGATAAACTATCTCATCTGAGCAAGTCAATGTTCATTTACCAATTTACCTTCTCATATGGAGCTAGGTATATAGGTCGTTCGATGAGTACTTTATCCAAAAAAAATCAAGAACATTATCTGGCGTGTCTAAGAAAAGGAGAAAACGGCTCAATAAGAAATTCAATAATCGAATATCTTGTGAACACAGGTCAGTCAATCAAGACAGACTTTGCATTCAAAGTCATCTACAAAGTAAGTAGAAGTCTTCCAAAGGCAATTATATTGCATCTTCCTGTGTGTCCAAAAGAGATTGGTACAACCTCTTCTTCTACCATGGACTTAATGTCTTAAAATTTTTCTAATACTCTTTTTCATTTACAGTCATTTACTTCCCCTTACATCTCCATTTAATCTTCCGCCCCTAACTGGTTTATTTCTGTTTCTACGATCCTCCTGATTACATTTAATCTCAATTCCAACATTTTATGTTATCATGCTGAACCATCCTTTCCCGATGATAATTGCCCTATCTATCTTTATGATAAGTATTTAAGCCCTTAACAATCAAACGATTATTAGTTTCCCTGTTGAAAAACGTTTTTTAATACATTTGTTTATTCTACCTCACTGTCTAACAGAAGTTTATTATCATTGTTATTGTAACTATAATCGTCCCGAAAAAAAGTATATATATTTGCGATTGTACAACTTTGAAAATGAATTCGCCGAAAAGAGAACTCTTCGCTGAACTAAACTTTCTTATCTAATTTTACAATTGTCATGTGTCCATTATTCTTGTTGTCTACTTACATAACATGAACCAAAATGATACTGATGGACAGTGGCTAGCAGTGGAATCCAGGATGCGCGTTTCGTCCTATTTGGGACTCGTCAGCTGGATGTATCTGCACCTCAGAGAGTTGATGCTCACTCTGGGACTCGAACACAGTAACATTCACTTCAAACGACATCGCGTTATCCACTCAGTTACTGAGTCCTAATAGCTACTTGCTTGTGCAATGGGGTGGATCTGAATTCAAACAACACCAAGTGAATTCAAAATGATACTGTTTAAAAAGAAAGTGTTTTTGTTTTGGTGCAGATAATTCACCCTAGAGCTAATTATGCTTAACTAAATGATTATTTTGAAAAAAAATTTTCTTGAATAATCCGGATACCATGTACCATATTGATTTTGAAAAAATTAAAAAAAGAAGTGGAAACTGTCCTTTTCATGATACAAACTGACAAAAATATCCAACACAAAATAAATTAATATCAGAAGGGGTTTTTGTGGATATTATAGTAATTTCAATAGTTGAGATCGTGAGTCAATAAAAGCTAGATCACCATGAAAAACCTGGAAGCACTGACGGCCCTTTTGTCCCATTTTGGGACTCCTCAGCAGTGCGCATCCACAATCTTTAGAGATTAAGTGCTCGTGCACGAGACTGGGTTCGGATTTCGCGTGGGGGCGGGATCGTGGATCCGCACTGCTGAGGAGTCTCACAATGGGACGAGACAGTCGTCCAATGTTTCCAGGTTTTCCATGGTGATCTAGCTTCAATTGACTGGTGATCTCAACTATTGAAATTGCAAAATAAATTGTAATATTATGATTGTATAGTAGGACAAATTCGTGACAACACTTAAAATATACCCGTATCTATTTGATCAACTAACTCAGTTAAACTTAATTTGATGAATTATATGTGGATAGAATATCCACTATGATAAATTTGACACTATGATTAGTTTATTAAAGAAGTATTCGTTTCTGAAACTATATTTACGAATTATTCATGGCAAACAGTTACTCATTTTTAGTAGACCACTAATTATAATTTCATGGTATTGTGTTCCCTGAACAGAATAATTTAACAACAAAGCTTTCATTATCATTTTGAACAATATTATCGGTGACTCATTCTACTCGATAATGTTATCAAGGTGTACAATTGCAATGTAATCATCTACCTGAGAGAACGTAACACCACTATAAGCTTGCCTTTTTAGTAACATATTAAGCTTGATGAAATCCCGAATATTTACAGCGGAAATGATAATTCTCTTCAAGTCATTATCTTGATATAAGCAACAATACATACTCAGTAAACTATGATAATGAAGAAATATCTTTCAATTACTAGACCATTAATTTTGTATGACGAATTACTAATTATATAGATACCTACTTTATAGGTTTGTCTAGGTTGTCACAAATATATAATTATATGAAAGTAACTATTGTCATTAACTGAAATCTGTCGGACTGATTATCAGTCTAATCCGTATGGATAAATACCAACGACCTACGTATTGTCAGTGACAATGAATGGTTAAAAAATTGGTCGACCAGATGAATTTGTTATTATTATTATTATTATCCATTTAATATTAAATTTTCGGTTCTCGAACTATGTTCTCTATTTCTTTCTACTGTCAGTGGTAGTATAACTACTTCTATCATTATAGATGAAATTTAGCTTGTTTATTGAATCACAATTTATTGATCCAGTGTGAAAATTTAGGCCAATGAAATATCTCTCAGCTCCTACGTTGCTTGTGACTAGTCGACATCAGTCAAGTAATCATTAAAAACTATAAAATATTAACCGACTATTCTATCCTTAGTGGGACCTATCCATCTTATGATAAACATATTCTCTTTAAACAACTGTTTCTTCAACTGATATCAGCTTGTAATTTAAAAGTTATTTCAGACTTTGAACATAAATTTATAGTTTATTTTATAAATTTCATGTAACCCATTTATTAAAACAGGAATTTCAGCGAAGGGATCTCTTTTAACGAATTTATTATCAAGCTGTACAATCATATATATATATGAAAATTTTGTTTTTGTAAAAGTACTAATTCCGTGAGGAAATGTGAACACAGTTAGGAGTTCTATACTTGAACACCTAATCGACTGTAACCATTCCACAGATCCAAAAAATGAATTTAAGGTTGTTTATATGATTCGTTCAAATCTACCCAGATTTCTTCGCATCCAACTTTTAAAAATAGCCGAAGCTCTTACCATCCAGGAGCTTAAACCAGAACTATGCGTACAAAAGAAGTACGTCTTATCGTTATCGTTACCTTGACCTTAATTATTTTGATTATCCTATCATTATTATTATTATTATTACTGCATTCCCCCCTTTACTTATGTCTTATATTCTCATTGTTTTATTCGTGAATACTCATCATATCACCATATTTATTTTTTACACCTCTATGACCTTTAATTATTATATCAAAAACATTTTAATCATCTTATTATATTCACTAAATCTATTGTTATTGTTCATATTACGTAATCTAGTATTATAACCTTTTTATTAACTGTGTTCACATTTCCTCACGGAATTAGTACTTTTACAAAAACAAAATTTTCATATATATACGATTGTACAGCTTGATAATAAATTCGTTGAAAAGAGATCCCTTCGCTGAAATTCGTGTTTTAATTTTAACCCATTTATATTTGTTTATTCACATCATTTTGAACCATACAGTTTATGTACTGATCAGTGATACTATCCATTAATCTAAACTAAACACAATTGGAGGTGGATTAGAACATAGAACTTATTAAGTAAATATTAACTAATTTAATTGCTAACCACCTAACATAATATAACATTATATACATAGAAACATATATCAAAAAATTCTCTACTTTTGTCCCATTCTAATTTCTGTTACTTACCCTAAAAAAATGTAAACAACAGATCGATAAAACTAAAACAATAATTGAATTTCTATAAACCAGGTTAAACTCTTTCATGAATCTAACTAATAATAATAATAATATTTGTAACCATTCAGGAAAAACAAATAAGTGGAAAACTTAAACATAAAAGACCAATAAAACAATAACTCCCTTCTATGATAATCATGATGTTGCTGTCATCATTTCAATGTATGAATGACTATCATGAAAAATTAGCAAAGAAAAAAGGATATCCCCATTCAATGATAATTTTTGAATATTTTCTAATTGCATTCTCTTCAGAGAATATAAATAATGTTTTATGATTGGATGGATGTAATCCAGGTATACCAATGGCTAGTGTACGTCTAGCTAAATTACGCATTGTTTCATCTTTGGACATTTCTAAATTATTTTCATTCTCTTTATGAATATTTAATTTAACAGTTAATGGTATAGTTGAATTAGTAGTGGTTACAGTAGTAATAGTATTAGTAGTAATGTTAGTAGTTGTTGTTGTGATTGTGTGCGTGTATGGTTTTTTGAAAGAATCTAATTTTTGATAGATTATTCCACTTTTTGAATCAAATTCATCATAATTTTGAGATTTACTATGATCATTTTGATCTGTATAATTTGAAAGATTACTTTTCATTTTTACTATATCAGTTGTTTGATTATCATAATTATGAGTAATTCGATTTTCCTCATTATTCACATTTTCTACCTTGGTTGTTTCCTCTGCTTCGTCTGTTTCATCCTCATCGAGATTATCATCCTGAAACCTATCAGTCAATATATTATTGTTACCTATACTGGCTGTATTTGAAACTGATATATCATTAACTTGACTTGTGACACTTGTACTAATGTTACTCTGATTTGACTTATGCATTTCATGACCTCTATGATCAACCATCGTTTTCTATTTGTTAAACCATTTTACATAACGGCAAAACTTACACTAATCTCCAAGATAACAGAATGACATTTTGAAATAACTAAATTTTAAATCTCCTCGAGGTAAAGTTATTATGGTTTCATCATTTTTAATTCCATGGTAGAGAAGACTTTAATAGTTTGCTAGCCTTAATACTTTTTTTTTTCATGTAACTTTTAGATCATTAATACATACATATATTCATGTACTGGTTGAATTCAAGATCATAGAAGTTTGCTTGTAGACAAATTGATAACTGAATAAATTGTTTGAAATAAGATAATCCACAGATAGTGTTTCATGATTTCTTCTCTCCTGTTGTTGCTGACGTTCCTGTAGTCATTTTTTTTAAATGAAAGTTATCAATCCTGTGAAATTTCGTTATTAATAATTGAAAGAATAGTAAGAATGACTAATAATAATAGTAATAATATAACAATAATCTGTAATGAGGAGTTCAAAGAAATTATGCATGAGTAGTATAATTATACACATAAATATACATGATCGAAGTATGACTGTCGGCGTCGTTTCTGATCGATAGATAGACACATACAACTTAGCGATTCTTCCTCATAGACAAAATAGTGGAACAAACACAAACCAGAAATTATTTTATTTAACTGTCAGATATGAACTCAATAAAATAATATATATATATATGAATGTTACTGTCCACATATACACACATACACAATTTGAGCATACTCATAAATGTGTATATGGATATGTTTAAATTATACATATATATGTACAACAATGTCAGAAATGTCTTGGATAACACCTGTCTAACACGTGAACAGATATGTCTCTTTCTCCAATCTAATCATAGGCCAATAAAAGGAGTGATCGAATTTCCCCACAACAACAAGAAAAAATTGGTAAAGAAAAATCAGATATGAGGACAGCTAAGCACTCTAAAAGAAAGATTTCATTGTCCATTGAAAAGTCACATATTTAATTTGTAAAAATTCGTCAATAAGAAAAATTCTATTTGATTAAAATATAAATGAAAGAATATATCTTGAAATTGGTATTAATTTCATACCCTAAGCAATTTCGCACAAGAGAGTAAGCTTGTGTAAAACATAATAATTATATTGTATGTGTGCAATAGATTATGTGGCAATAGATATAATATTAACATATAGGTGGTTGGAGGTAGTCAGCAATAAATCCTTAGTCAGTCAGTCAGTTACAACGTAGGACCAGGCACATATATGCATCAGTCCAAGTTGCCATACCTCATTAACACAACCCGACCGTTGTTGCTACCTTGATGTGGTGGTCGGGCATGCCTATCTTGACGAAGCAACCGAGCTATACTGGCTGGAACAACTGTTCTTCAAGGTCCTACCACGTCAGAAAGGTCGGTTGAAGGGCGGTAAGACTAAATGCAACAAACCCAAGGTCTGAAGGCGAAGTCGTACAGCTGACTGTACAGAGGTGTGACGGCAGTAAGGTGTTTCCTTCAGACAACCAGCATGACAGCGATGCTGCCTACCCACAAGGAGGGTTGTGGCTAGAAAAGGTCGACCCTAAAAATGCACACCTCGCCTTATCCCACGGATATCCATCTCCGGCGGTAAGGTCTCAACAAGTACGGAGCTAACACAAAAATTACCCATAAAATGGTCGTATGTGACCGACCTCAAGCAGTTGTCCCTTGGGCACTGCAGTCACGCTCTCAGGTCACTAAGACTACCTCCAATCCAATTTCCTTTTCAGGCACCTCCAGAAGAACCCTTCCTCGGTGTGGGCAACCGGGAAGTGATAACTGCCCTCATACCTCTAACAGCGCTCAAACCCCCCTGGCAATAAATCCTGGACATGGATTTCGTGCTACTTGACACTTATCAGTAGAACACATTTGCAATATTGAAGAAATTGCTGCTCCTTGGCCGACTTGATTCAATATCACACGACTTCATAATTTGAGACGTTGCCACTGAGATAGTTAAGCTGCGAATGACTCCTCTATAACTGACATATTCACAATAGATTATTTAGTGAATAGTAACCAAATCCATTTTCAGGTTTTCTTGTTGATTATATCCAACCATCCTACACAAATTCACAGAGAAACCCTGTGTTAAGTTAATCAAACTAATGACCATATTACAAATCAATCGATAGGTTTCGAACCAGACAAACATGGTATCGGAAACTACTCAGTGATCAATTAGTTACAGTATGAATTAAGGCTACTAACTAAAAAGACGTTAGAAACTCTTGCTAAAATCGCTGAGGCAATCGATTAGCTTGTTTACTTTAAAAATCTAATTCATTTTCAATTTTACCTTTCAATATCTAGTGTGTTGTCACACATTAAATACAATAGTTAATCTGAATTGTTACCACTTATATTTAACTATTTGTAGTAAATTGGTATCTTAGCATCTCCAGTTTTTAAATAAGTTAAACTGAAGCCAATTAGAAAGATTATTTCTTCTGGGGATGCTAGATCCCCAGAATTCGCTTAGTAAACGTCTTACTTTTGTAATTTTATTTCAAAATTTTGAATTTATCATTTTCGTGCTAAAAGCGCCGATTATTACCTTCAGTTTTTATTTACCACTTGGAAGGACCTTAAATATCAATGGCTCATTCCCTCTGTTAATATGCTACTTTGTGACGTTTCCCAAAGACATTTTTATACTGTGTATATACCCTTGAGTTGTGTGCTTGTTCGTCATTATTCCCAATATATTCGTCAGGTATTCCATTATATTTATTAGCGTAACAGTGATCGTGCATGGTGTGTTAATTCTTTTGAAGAAGGTTTGTAAACAGCTCAATTTACGAATCATTGGGTTATCGTTGCAGTAAGTGAATCTTTGATCAGTATAGGTCGGCTTCAGTACACTTGAATCTCAAGTTTGCACACACTGGTTATGGTGATCAGGATTTCGAAGAATGATAGTATGTTTTCTGGTTTCGCTTGTGATGTAAACATTTCATCATCAAAAAAAGTTTCGGACCAAATTGTTAATAATCTACCGCTAATCATTTTTCGCTACGACAAATGTGCCGTCTTCATGGCATTTTCAAAGTTTTTGGCTTGAACAGTGATAAGACTGAAGATTTCAGTCTCAATTACGGTTTCTTCAGTTAATCCAGATACTAATGATATCCCTGGGGTTCCTTTAGTTTGTTTGTATATGTTACAGTTGAACTAGAAATATGTTTATACACGTACGCTGATGACAGCAATTGAGTTTTTACATTAGGTTTTTGTGTGTTTACGAAGGTTTGTATTATTGATGTGGATAAAGGATAGATTGGGGAGGACCAGTCGAATAGCAGCGGAAATGAAAAGATACGACCTGGCGGTGCATAGAACAGAAAAGACTAACTTCGAGGGTGCTGTTGTTGTACTCCGGTCATGACGAAGAAAATGCCGTGTTTTCAACAAAATGGTTATAGGTGGCACTATATTCTCTCACAAGCTCATACACAAAGCTACATAGTTTTCGCATGACTACACTAGAGAACCATGTCGATAACATTTACATCCTTAAAATGTTCTGAAGGTTCATGAAAGATGTACGAACAAAGAAAAGGGCTAACACAGCTTCAAACCACCACCTTGCGGTGTTTAATACAGCTGTTCTTTGAAATACTGTAATAGATGTAAGCATGTTCACTCTTTTACTCCATTCTGTATGATTTTTTAGATATAAACTGAACCAAGGCATAAAATGACTCTTGTGAAATCCAACATTTCACTTAAAGATATTCTAGATTTATCCTTTTTTGTTTTCTATATCATCCTTTACATCTATTCTACCAATGAGGAAAATGAAATGATATACTTGATGGTTTTATATAATGAAACTTTAACCAACATCTTTTTCGGTCTATTTAAGCATACAATAGCATAATGTTTTCTTTTAAATAAAGTATGAAATAAACCGTTTTGATTTCAGGAAAAAAAAAAGTAAGAAAAAGCTTAAACAATGGAAAATAGTTGACCACTGACTGTACTAATAACAGACCGATCATGACCTGACCATTCTCTTTAATTTATTACTTTAAATTATTATTATTATTATTATTATTATTACTAATGGTTTTATTCAATATTACTTTTTTGGTACTATATAGAATTCTCAGCACAAGGTACTTCAACAAGTTTTTGTTGAAATACTTAAATAGGACGAACAGGTAGCCCAGTTATTTAAGAAGGTCTCCAGAAGCTAATATAAATTTAATACAGTGTTAAAATTTGAAGACAAATTGGTGATATTCCAGGTTATTTGATTTTCGATAAGCAATCATTGAAATTCTGTGGTCATAATACATGTAACATTTGGCTATCCACTAATTTAATCTTATTTTCATACTTATACTCGACAAAAGTATGTAGTGTAATTGCAGGAAGAACAATTTCATCGTAACACATGATACGCCAACAAAAGTGTTATAGTTCTGATACCAAAATACTAGAAAATCAACTGAAACTCATATGAAAACATTGTAAGCATAAAAGCATGCCGTTAATAACATATTTCATGGTTTAAATAACGAACTGATCTTAGTTAGACAGTTATTGAGAACCAGGTGGCACTAGACATCAGTTTTGTTATATCACGGGACTGTCCAGCAGTTTTCATCCACAAACCCATCTGTGATTAAATCCTAAACCGTGAGATCCTTTACATCATACTAGAACGAAACATCTATCCAGTGTTTCGTGATTTTTAATGATTATCTAAATGAGATTACTCTGTGGTGCAAACTCAACAATCCCCGCAAATACATTGTAGTAAGAGTATCACACTATCTATCATTCCGGTTTAACTTTTGATACTCACACATACACACACACACACCTGAACTACATACAAACATTCTGATCCTCAAATACTATGAAGAATAAATGATTTAAAAATATTAAACTTGTGTTTGTAAAGCCTTTTATTATGATTTTTTTTGGTGAAATATTTTTAATTTTACACGTTATTCAACCGTAAATT